ATTTATCCAATGGGGCTGAAATTTGGATATGTTATAGTACACACCCATTGGAACAACTTTCATGAATAATGCTGCCTCATCCGAGCTGTCTAGGGTGCTGAAATAAAGCTTGCAATATGACCTACGGAACTGGACTGGCAGGGGGCTGTAGCCAAAATGAGTTTGTCTTTTAAGCTCTTCATCCATTCATCCAAATTAGGCCTTAACATGCTTGAATTGCATGAATTATGCTCTCTTGCTCTATTTGCCTACAAAACACACAAAGGGAGGCAAATAACTTAGAAATCTAAGAAACTAAGCAAAAGAAGTAAGTAAATAGGGCATGTATATGTATGAAATTATGAGCTTAACATTATCCTTGATTAGCTTTATTAGATAGAATGAGTTAGTGTACTATGAAGTATTAAGGAACAAATTTATGTAAAAGGCTTGATTATGCAGTTTAATTGGGTTATTGTTCAAGTCAAGATTATACAGTTTAATTGATAATTGGGTTACAATTTACTTTACTTGTATAAAATCAGTTGTGAATAATTTTAATCTATAGTCTATGGATTGAATTTATATATGTTTTGAAAAAGAATAATAAAGAAGTAAAAGTTTTGACTCATAGCTTTGAAAATCTGTTTGGCATGTTTATGATTTTGCTTATGAATATGTTTTTCATTTTATAGGCCTTAAAAATGTCAAATATGGAAGCTAGTCCTACACCCACAACAGATGATACACCACAAGTAATTGGGGATGAAGCAGCTACACTCCCTTCACGTCCTCCCACTTCGGGAAAGATCAAGCCTATTAGGAAAGCATCGGAGGTATGGAAACATTTCATTAAGGAACCATTTGAACTAGGGAGTAATATAGGACCTAGAGCTTCTTGTAAGTATTGTCGTGCATCTTATGCATGTGATCCCATAAAAAATGGGACATCTACAATGATGCAACATTTGAGAGAAAAATGTACGGGGGGGTGTCCATTAAGAGAGGAAAAAAAACAAAAAGTTCTTGTATTTGACAACAAAGGAAGTGTAGTTGCTTATTCATATAGCAAGGAAAGAAGTAGAATTGCTTGTGTGAAGATGATAATACTTGATGAGCTTCCATTTAGGCATGTGGAAG